AATTCTATGAGAAGTCAATTGGAGATGACGAATAGGAGTGAAGAGCGTATTGAGAAGGTAATAAGGAGAAAGGAAGAGCTAGAAAGCCAATTGTCATCTTTGTTGCATGATCTTGAATCTTTCAAATCCCATGTGTGTATTGAAGATGATGATGATGATGTTTTTGTGCAATCAAAAGAGTGTGAGGAAGACAATAGTGAGCTTTTGAGTGAAGAAAAGAGAGTTGAGAATGAATTGAATGATGATTTTGTGAATCCAAACCCCTTTCTTATTTTGATGAAGGGCATGTTTGTGATTCTTCTATTCATGAGTATTTGGACTCATTTGAGGTTATGTCCCATATATTTTGTGAGGTTCAAATGAAAAACCATAGCTTTTTTAGTGATTTTAATGAGAATGCTTCATGGGAAATAGATGAGTTTGAGATGAATTTGCATCCATTCATGCATGGTTTTGAGATCTTGGGCTTTGAGATTTCTAAGGGAAATGTTGTTTATCATCGTGATAAGGAAGATGAGGTTGTTTCTCTTGGAGATTGGTTGTTTGAGGGAGATGTAGATCATGAGTGTTCTTCTTTTGAGAATTCAATGAATAATTTTCATTCCCTTATTAGTGATGTGAGGCAAGGTGGTGAAAAAGAGATCATTTGTGAGACCATTTCTCCTATCCCCCCACCTCATCATATTCCATTTTCAAGAAAATGTGATCATATTCCCTCCTATCCCATGTCACTCCCTTCTTTACTCAAAGAGCCTATTGGGGACCCTCCTTCTATTTGTGATATTTAATCTTCCCACTCATCGTTTATTAAGGAAAAGGGCGATTTTGCCACCAAAAAACATTTTAAGGAGAGTTTGCCTTACTTTTCTTTTTCTTCTTCTTCTTCTTCTTCAAATTTTGTTGAATTTTCTTTTGATTCTTCTTCTTTTTCTTGGTATCTCTCTCCTTATTTGCGTGCACTATCCTTGTTGCACGTCATCTTCCCGTCATTTACCTACCTTCTTTCTTATGAAATGTGTAGTAGTGCATTTGACAAGCTCTTGCGATCGTTGCAATATTATTTACTAGAGCGGTCAATCTTGGACCTTAAGCAAGCCTTTCTCGGGAAGTAATTCGTGTTTTATTGCTTTCATTCTCTTTTCTTTTTAGAATAGGTTTTGACTCATGGAAATTTTTTTTGTGCTTTGTGCTGGGTACATAACTTGATATATTCTTATGCATTGGTTTAGATCAAGAATCAGGATATTTGACTCCACTTTTGCTAGCACATGGAAAACAAGATTCAATTTTAGAGGTAGTCAACTTCAAGAAGGTTTAATTGGGTCATTTACAGGTATTTACACCTATCTAATATCCGGTAATATCCTTCCTTTTTCTTCCTCTAATGATTTGTGGGTTGTTGGACATATGTTGGTTGGTTGGATGACTTTCTTTCTTTTCTCCTCCCATGGATTCTTTGGTTTAAAGTTTGAGCATGTTGCCTCATTCAAGCTTGGGGGAGGGTATTCTATCATGTTTTTGATTCATATATATTCCATGCACATTTGTATATGCATTTGCATTTTCTATATTTTGAAAATTCCAAAAAGGTTTTGTTTCTATCAAGGCAAATTTGCAATGTGTTTTTTTTTTTCTTACTTTGGACATAATACGCTTGGACTTGTATTCTTGAATGTCTTTATTCCTAAATTTTAGAGGTGTGAACGGTTTGAGAATGTGTTAGGTTGACTCTAGGATATGATATGCTAAGGTAGTTGGTTAAGAACTTTGGGACCATGAAGCCCTACTTCACTTGCTTGTGGTAAGATGGAGTTACTCTCTATAGTGGATATGAAGCCAAGAGTGAGTTATTTCTATCCCTAGTGAGGTATAATTATTCAAGCCTTCATCATACTTTGTTGAGCGACATATTTGGATCTTTGGCTATTGCATTCTCATATCTAGAACTTGACTTTTAGCTCCCAAGATCGCGAATGGACCACTTTAGGGGATGACAAAGGCATTTCTTCGGGGTTCTTATATTTCTTTATATAGGATAGATTTTCTATTTTTGGATTTGGTTTGCATTTGCCCCTCTTGCTAGCCCTTTTGAGCCATATACCTTCTTTTCTCTAGCCACAATACAAGCCTTGAAGCCTTGGTTTCACTTTCTACCTTTAGTTTTGTGTAGCAATTTAGTTTTCGAGCTTGTTTTATTGTTTATTGTTTTATAGCTTGGGGAAAATTTATTTTATGAGTATAGTTGGTACTTTTGTTTTGGATTCCTTTGGATCTTTTGGAAAAAGTTCCACTCGGGCTTCACATGTAGGTTTACCACCAATTTCAAAAGTTTTCCACACCTTTACTCTCCTAGCCTGTATATTACAACCTTGAAAGTCCTTTTAATCCTAGAGGGTTAAGTCATTTAATGGTGGCGGGAAATAGGATTCAAGCCTATAGAGCGAGTTTGCATAGCCAAGATGTTGGGTAACCTTCTCATGATTTGAATTTCTTACTTATTTTCCGGTTCCTTCGTGGAATCATGAGAAGCTAACTTGAAAGTGGATTTGAAACTTGTAGAGAGGACGTGGTTTGATTGGTTGGAACAAAAGGTGGAAAGTGTTTCCGTTAGTTCTCTATGCTTAGCATGTGTTATGTTTCAATCAACCTTGGACATCTTAGAACGTGCATACCTTTATTATTTTTTAGAAAGATTGACATTCTTTAGTGCTTGTTCCATCATAAAAGTCCACTCAAGAACGCTTGTAACCTCTCTTTTACTTCGATTTATTTTATTTATTTATTTATTTATTTGCCTTGATTTTTGTCTGGAGTTATGGGTTAAACTCTTAGGATACCCTTACGAGAGCATACTCGTCCTCTAGAGCGATCTAAGGGATTTAAAGTGCTTGATGCATACGGTAAATGTATTCGTGATTCCTACGAAAGTGAGTTAGTGTATATTCTTTCTCTTCTAGTTTTATTTGTTTAAATAAAATACATCATTTTCCCTTGTGTTTGTTTGTTTTTTTGCTCGAGGACAAGCAAAAGTTAAGATTGGGGGAATTTGATAAGTGTAATTTATGTCACTATTTTTTAGGAGTTTCTAGTTAGTTTTTCATTGTTTTGATATCTTTGTACTTGGTTTTAATAAGGTTTTATTTCATTTGTCGTGTTTGCATGTGAAATGTCATTGTTGATCAAATTTGGCTTTTCTTGCATATTTTTGGTTGCTTCTTGCATTAGATTAAACTTTATTGGTTTATTATTATGTTTAGGAACACTTGGATAAGTTCATTGTTCAAGATTGAAGAAATATAAAACATAAAAGAACAAGTAATGAAGAAATGTGCACTTGATTTGCAAGGATCAAACTTCAAACGCCTATATCTTTTGATCTACAAAACATTTCGGAGTGATTCTAATTGGAGATGAAAGCTTATCTCAAGAGCTTTCCAACGAAAGGTCATTTGCTCAATTCCGATGTAAAACAAGGGAGTTATGTTCGTTTGAAGCTGAGTAGTTTTGTCCAGCGTGAAGGAGCGGGCGCGCAGTCTAAGAGGAGTCCCACTCCAAACTTTCTAGAATGATTCTGCTTCTCACTGTTGCAGCTAGGAGCGCCCGTGCTCTGACGTTGGAGCGCTGACGTTATCTGCCATCTTGTACTCATTATTTGCTGCTTGTGACCCAGGGAATATGGTTGTGTGAACACCGTGATTATCCAACCCCGCGCAAAGTAGTAGTTACACTTAATTGGATGTAGTTGACATCTCAGATTCGTATATTGCTCGAGCTTCAATTACTGCATATGCCATATAGGGTTGTTGCTGAGGGACAGAACTCTTAAATGATGGGCTATAATGTATGTTTCAGACACATCTACACCCTATGTCCATCAATTGTAAATTGTTATAATAAGTCATTATTAGTCCAAGTGTTTTTTTGTGTTCCATATACACCAATTACTTTCAAATTACAACTTCTGCTTAAATCATGCTGGAAATCTGCGTGGAAAGTTGCAGTTCATCTTAAATGTATACGAATTTTTTTCCCTGCTGTGTATATGTCGCAATTTGCATTCATTCGGAAAGTTGCAGTTCATCTTTAATGTATATGAAATTTTTTTCCTGCTGTGTATATTGCGCATTCTGCATTCATATGCCCATAACTTGCTGCTTGAAGTTCAGCCATGTGCGTGCATGTGCTTGGCATGGTGCATCAAGCATGATATTCATATGCCCATAACTTGCTCTTGAAGTTCAGCCATGTGCGTGCATGTGCTTGGCAGGCCTATCAAGCATGATGTTCGCTGCGGCCTTGAATGCGTGCATTGATGTGTGCTTAAGCTTCAGACATGTACAGATGCATGGTGCAAGTACTGAACTACAGATGCATTGATTTTTAGTTTTGAAAGATAAGAAGGGACAGTAAACAAACACAATTCTCTTTCAACTTCTCAAGGTTAAACTTTATCCTAGTTTCTAGGCTAGGAAGCCAAGGTTAAGTTTAATTACTCATAGCGTTGATTAAATTAAATAGCGTTGATTAAATTAAACTATTTCTTCTATGTTCTCTATTAATTGCAACGTGTGGTATTTCATGATTGACTATACACATGATATGTCATCATCTTAGATTATTTTTAATAAAAAAGTAGAAATTTTGAAAGACTAAAATTGTTTATAAACGACCTGTCACCACCCGACTTGAATTAAAACTGTATAAACATAAATACGAAAATCAAACCAGCATGTTAATAATAAGAATGAAACCAACCCAACCCGTAAGCCAAATGAACGCATTTTAAACCTACTCATTGCAACCCTAACCAAAATTGACACTGACACACTGCTAGTGAGTGAGATCTTATAAAGAGATTAACCACCCTCAAGGGTATACCTTGGACTACAGGCACTCTAGACCCTAAAAAATAGAGTGTCATTTGCTTTTTTGCAATTTTTGCATCAATTTAAACCTTTGAATATTCTTAATAACATGTGATTGTAAATCAACACGGCGAATGAGGAAACTTAAAGCACTTTATTATATCATAAATGTTCCAAAGTACATATGCTGAACATAAAACTATGAGGATACAATGATTGTTACAAGCCCTAACAAGCACCCCATGAAGGAGACAACATTTTCAAATTTAAGATCTATTTCCGGAGGAGCAATTCATCTACTCAATCTACTATGCATTAGTAGACATACTAGTTGGCGAGGAAGGATCCCAACCTGGAGGCTTGATGTTTGGCCAATCTCCACGACATCCTAGTCTTATATATAGACTCTTTTTACCTAAGAAAAAAGATAATTCAAATAAAACAAGACATGGTTAAATTTGTAGCTTCAAATTAGCCTCAAGAAACTAACCTAATTTTGCCCATTATTATAGCATAAAGAAGAAATGTATATAGCATTGGCACAATTGTCCTAGTTTTAAGTTCAAGAAGTGATCAGTGTCACTAAAAAGAGCATATGTTCCTGTCATTAACCAAGGTGAAATTATCTTTAACAACCAAGTCAGGGTAGAAGAGAAAGAACATTGCAATTTTGAACGACATTGAATTCATTGAATGTTTTTCAATATCCATTCTAGATCAATGTTAACAAAATTCATCATCTCCTAATTAAGTTGCCAAATTTTCTTTTCATTTCATCCCAATCTAGTATTCCCAAACCATATGATGTTAACATTTTCACAACTTTGGAAAAACATATTTCTTACCCTATTTAGTTTGAGTATTGCTAACAATAAGAAAATTATAGGAAAATACACACACCTAGAAACAAAAAAACTGTCAAGCCTACCCACAAACTATAAAACCATAAATTTTAAGATAACATATAATCCCAATACTTATATGATTATGTCAATTAGATAAGAGAAACATGTCAAGATTAAGGCCTTCTATATAAGTATGTTATGATTATCCACAAGCCATATAGCCTATACATCAGAGGAAAGACCCAAAGGTAGATTAAGTCAAACAACGATTGAGAGAAAGTCTACAAGTGTTAATTGCTTCACACCTAAGTACTCACAAAACCATCTTCATCTTTGCCATATGGTTTCTTTGGAAAAGAAGAAACAAATGGGTGTTCAAAAAAGAAAACACCCCCTCTCTGTCAGCAAAAAACCAATGTATTTGGGCTGCATCTGAATGGTTCTTCTCCACGGAAAACCAGCAGACTCCCTAAAGCCCAAGCCCACAACACCAGTTGAAACTTGGAAACCACCACCACCTCAAACCATCAAAATAAACACTGATGCTTCATTCTTAAGCAAAACACAGGAAATAGGCTTTGCTTGTATATGCAGGGATCATGCAGGGAACTGGATATGTGGAATGGAAAAAAAAAATTGGTTGCTCAGCAGCAGAAGGAGAATTACAAGCCATCACAATGGCGTTCAAAACTATTGAAAGTAACCAATGGGAGCATTGCATTGTGTCTACAGACTGTAAACATGTAGTGGAGTTAATCAATAACAAAGCCTTTCAGGAAAATAATCGATTAACTACTCTACTGAAAACATGCAGGCAACTCCTGGACCAGCAGTCAGGTACAAGCCTTCAGTTTGAGCAAAAGGAACGGTAACAGGGCTGCAGACGCTTTAGCAAGGGAAGCAAGGAAAGGGAATGATCTTTTGTACAAGCTGAATGTTTTTTAACTCCCCACCCCTGGTTTGTAGAAGTATTATTTTGGAAGAGATACTCAAAACTCGTTCTGTTGTCTCTAATGATGGTAATGATGGTCATATACCACCTACCCAAAACGCTAGAAACTATGATGTAAGTATGTAACTTATTTGAACCTCCCTTAATTTAATCGTTCCCTTTCTACCAAAAAAAAAAAAAAAAAAAAAAGGGAGCAAATCTTCAAAACAAAACATAACACTCTAAACTAGGTTTATAACCTCATCATACAATATTGGCTAATACACTAATATGACTTCCTCAATCCTTTGTGAGCAAACACCACCACTCTGTTAGTCACACAAAGCCATAGAAGTTCCAATGGTGAAATTTTGAAGTGGGATGAAACATAAATTCTCTCTCTAATGGTAAGAGGGAGCACAATAAGGTGAACTGCTCATCCTACACCAAGTTGTTATTATGGGGAGAAAGGCAGAGGCAACGCCAAATCAAAGCTCACATTTAGTAGGGGTATCATCTATTGTGAATGTGAACTTGAATCTGAAGGTTAACCAAAGCAGTGTCATGAGTATTTCGAAACCCAGCTCTGTAGAAGTTACAATAAATGAACACCCCTTTATGTCCCCAAAACAAACGCTCACTACTTGTTTATTTCTTTTTGTAAGAAAAACCTGAGTGTTGTTCCAAGCAAAGATACTAATGACAAATTGAAGTTAATTACTAAGTCTCAAAGCTGAGAAATTGTTGAAGGCAGAAAGAGTAATATAACTCACGCAAGCATTCTTGTTTGATCGGATAGAAAAACTCAACAAGGTCAATCCTCTCTTGATGACAGTATACACTTGTAAATCAACTGAAACAAAATGCAATAGTTAAGATGACACATACCTGGGAGCTTTTTATCAGATAAAATTAGCTGTTTTAAAGCACTCAAGGAAGCCTGGGCCACAGCTTTGGCATAACAAGCATCCCAACTGTCAAACTTGACAACTACATCTGCTTTTGAATAAGATTCAGAGCCTTCATAGACTTGCTTTTTTGCCTCTTCTTTGGCTGAATATTCATCTGCATTTATGGTCAGACAAAATTAGATATAGAGTTGATAGAGTGTAATGTCAGACACCAACCCATGCACCTTGGTTTATAATCCCAGTAACAAGCTATTCTTCGAATTTCTAATCTTGATTCTCAGCCTCCTATACACACATAGAGTAATACAACGAAAGTTGGATTTGTTATAAGCTATTTATGTTGGTATTAGGAGCATTTTTATTATGTATTTGTGGGTTGAAGAAACGAAGGGTAAAAAGGTTGCAGGCCAAGAGAAGAGGGTGGTCAGACATCTGCTCTCCAATTATACTGGTCACAACAGCTGACTTGTCAAAAAATAAATAAAAACACAAGGACACTTTTTTTCTGCTTCCATATGATACTGAGTAGATTCATTTGAGGTAGACACCAGAACTAAAATTGGCATACCCTTAATTTAAGCCTGATTATAGAAGTTTGAATTGAAAAGGAGTGTCAGCTGTCAGGTCTGAATGAGGTAATTGCAGTGCAAATAGTACGTGAAACTTTGAGCAAAGACTTAGCTATCTTGAAATTCAATCATGCAAGGTTGTGAAGCCAAGTAAAAAAAACAATGCCAGCAAAACAAAATAAGTAAATACAGTAAATTATTTATTAAAAATAAAAACACATGAATCTATATCATCAGATTGAGTGAATGACTTTTTATATGAGAGCATTAATTTGTATTTAATAAAGAACCCTCCTCATAGACCTTACATATTAAAATAATATGAATAAAGCACATTCATTTCTATAAAATTTGGGAGCAATTGGAGAGCTGATTCACTCATCAGACTGTCTGCACTCTGCAGAATGCCAAGATAATCTCTAGGTTGTCTCAAAGTTTGACAATTCACACCACAATAAAAAAAAAAAAAAAAAAGAAAAAAGAAAGCTACACCAAAGGTTGAGTCCATAAGTTTAAAACATAACCGAGAGAATCCCTAGCCTCCATGTCAAAAGCATGTAATGACTTGGATGGAAGGAGTCAATTTGATGTGAGTTAAGTGGCATTGTAAAAGCAAGTAGGAATGCAGATAAAAGTGAAATAAATGCAGAGGATCTGTGCAGATGACCACAGGAGATATATACTTGGGTCACGCTGCTGACCCATCCATTTTGGAATAATGCTCTGATGTTTTTGAATTCAAATTTCAGATTGAAGTACCTGTTGCTGCAGATTGTGACAACCAGACTGTAAGTCCTGCATAAAGATGCCGCCATTTGTCTGCTCTTCCAGCAGCTCCATGCTTGCCACCTAATGTTGCAACAACGGCTCGAACATGGCTGTGCAACCATGAAATCATAAAGGGGAGCTTCTCACAAATATAAAACATAACAAAGAGGTCTTGCTTATGCTTGAAGTTTACCTACTTAGACTCTCTAAAACTGCTGCCTCTGCTTCTGCCACAGCATCAGATCCGTCTGTATTCACCCCTGGATTTGAAAGCAGATATTGATTCACTGCTAGATCAGGATAATGTAACAATTCATACATAAGCTATTACAATTAGTATTTTTTACCACACCTTTACCTACTCCCATACCACCAAAAGGTAAGTAATTAAAAATAAAAGTATCAGTGAAGAACTATAAAATTGAATGCAGTATGATAGAAGTATACCACAGCACTAAAGGCGGCATGAGAACTGACAAACAATGCAACTGGAGGTGAACATAAGCAGCTAGAGACTCTAGATAAAATGCACAGCAAGTAGACAAATGGAAACAGTAGTATTTCTAAAATTAATGATTTAATGAATAGCGACTTCACTTTGGAAGCCCTCAGTGTTCAAACCTCTTGTAGCGTATTCTAGGCTAAGCAATAGACTGAGCATCCAATGTGAAGCTAGAGCTCAATCTTGAACTATGTAGCATATAATGACTTGGGGCTAGAGATCGGATTCATTTAAGAAACAGGAAAACCTCAATTCCCAGCCAATTTTTGGGCTTCATTAACATGGAAACAGCTGGGGTTTCGGAAAAGCCTAGGATATCTCAACGAGGACAGGTCCCAGAGGATTCTGTGATTTCTAGATCTTTTAATAGCTTAATTATGTATGCTAAACATTTAGAAGAATTAGGACTGGCTTACTATAAGAGGTAAGCTTTGCAAAGTGGGTGATGGCGTATGGAAACATTAAAGCTCAAGAACTTATTTGTTAGGTCATCACTCATCTACATATAATTATATATTAAAGCTCATGGCTCATGGTGTAAATTCTTTTAAAGGGTTGTTTGGTTCACACTAAGAAAAGGAAAAGAAAACAAGGAGAAAGTAATTGAGAATGGATTGTTTGGTTTGAGGGATAATAAAATACAAAAACCCTTGCTATAGAGCCCTCTTCCCCCCCTCCCAACCCCACACCCCCCCCCCCCCGGGTCTTTCATAGAATGGTGATGCAAGGGTGTTGGTGGCTGGAAGTTCTAAGGAGGTGTTGTGGAAAGCAGTGGAAGTTCTAACGGTTGTTGTGGAAAGCCTTAAGTCCCAAAATGATTTGGGGTTGGCTAACATGAATCATCATCAAGAACTGTCCGCAAAGAAATTTAACAAAGAAAGAAAGAAAAGTAAAAAAAAAAAAAAAAAAAAAAAAAAAAAAAAAAAAACAATGAAAGTGGACGAAAAACAAGAAAAAGGGTGATAGGGTACCTCAAAAGTGAGTATGATTCATTGATGCAATGTTTCCTAGGGGTGGTAGGCATGATCCCATCAACGACTAATACCTCAACTACAAAAGCAAATTCAAAAAGCCAAAAAGGAAAGAGAGGGACATGAAAATTTCTAAGCATCTATGTTCCTTTACGATGGAATTCATGGAACGGTACAGAAGAGTTGGAAACTTGGATAGTAATGTGTCAAGTTACAGAAGTCATCAAGTTACAGAAGATTGAAGAAGATATTGATACTAGCCTACTAGGAAACAAAACTTTTCCTCAAATATTTGGATATAATTGACACCATTTCCAAAAGTTTATTCTTGTATCTCAGACAAAATTCCCTGCTAGTATCCCCTTATATTGATCATTGTTATCTAGATATGAAACAGAATGCTAGGACCTAGGATCAAACAGATAAAATACACAAGCACAGTAGAGGGAAGATAGCCAGCTGGTGATATGATGTATTGCTAATTAGTGTAATCAACAATACAACTCTCCTTCTTTCGAGAGGAAGGAAGCTCTCCAAAACTTGTTACTACAACTTTCTGGATAATCCTCACCTCCTACCATCCTCCTCTTTATAATCTCTTCCCTAACAAACTTCTACAGCTAAGAAGGAATAACAAACTAATTCCCAAAATTACTACATTAACCCAAAACCCACTAACAACCTCATAACAGAATTCCACCTCAGCATCAAGTTGCTGGAGAATTCTTATTGGCCTTCCTGCGAGCATAAGTAATTATGGGCCTGGGCTGATTCCTTGCAATACCCCCTTCCCAAACTTTCACCTTGTCTTCAAGGTGGAAGGAGGGAAACCTGCAATCAATCTCATCAAAGTGCTCCCAAGTGGACTCGAAATCTTGCACCCCTTTCCACTTGATGAGAACCTCTGTCGCCTGCTGAGAAGTCCTAACCCCAAGCACTGATTCTGATTCAACTTCCAGCACAATGTCTGAAGTGAGCTGAGCAGGGAGATGGGTGGGATGGTGTCCTGTTCCCACAGCCTTCTTAAGCTGGGAAATGTGAAATACCTGATGTATTTTGGCAAAATTTGGCAGCTGTAGCCTGTATGCTACCTTACCAACCCTTTGCACCACTGTGTAGGGGCCATAGAATCATGGAGAGAGCCTCTCATTCTTTCTCTTTGCCAGGGACTGTTGTCTGTATGGCTGAAGTTTCAGGTACACCATGTCCCCTTCCTGAAATTGCCCATCTCTCCTACTCTTATCCTCATATTGCTTCATATAACACTGTGCCCGAGTCAAGTGGAATTGAAGCTCTACCAAGATAGCATCTCTTTCCAATAATTAATCTTCTAAAGCAGACACAGCCGTGCTTCCAGATGTGAACCGCACTAGATGGGGAGGTTCCCTTCCATACAGAGCTTTGAAGGGTGTACAATTAGTGGCAGTGTGGAATGCCGTATTGTACCAATACTTAGCCCATGGCAACCATGAGGCCCAACTCTTAGGCTTCCCACTCACAAAGCAACGAAGATATGATTCCACTCCTTTGTTGAGTACCTCCATTTGACCATCTGTCTTGGGATGATAAACCGTGCTTCTCTTCAAGTGAGTGCCCTGGAGCTTAAACAATTCGGACCAGAACACATTACGGAAAACTTTGTCTCGGTCTGAACAATGGAGGAAGGTATTCCATGGAGCCGTACTATCTCCTTCATGAAGCATTGGGCAACCCCCTGAGCTGTATAGGGATGTTTTAAGGGAATGAAATGCCCATACTTCGTGAGTCGATCAACAACTACCAAAATCGAATCCCATCCCGAAGACTTAGGTAGGCCTTCAATGAAATCCATGGATATGTCCTCCCACACCTTATCCGGAATGGGCAGCAGTTGTAGCAAACCCAAAGGAGAGAGCATTGAAGCTTTATTTTGCTGACACACATGGCATTGCTTGACATAACTTGCCACATCTTTTCTCATGCCCAACCAATACCATTCCGCTGCCAGACGCTGATATGTCTTTAAATCTCCAGCATGTCCACCTACCGGAGAATCGTGATACTCTTTAAGCAAGCGAGCAGTGAGCTCAGATTTGTTAGGAATGACCACCCATCCTTTGTACTTTAACACACCATTTTCCAGAGAAAAACCATTTAGGAACTAAGTCCCCACTGTGCAATTGAGAAATCAGTTTCTGTAACCCCACATCCTGATCAATAAAGGACTTGACAAATTCCCAACTAACTCCACAAGCCGTAACCATAGCAGCGTATTCCACTTCCGGGGGCTGTTGTCGCGACAGGGCATCGGCCACCTTGTTAGCAGGGCCTGGCTTGTAATGTATGTCAAAGGTGTAGCCTAACAACTTACTCGCCCACTTCTGATAAGCATGCTCTACCTCCCTCTGCTCCAACAATACTCTGCCACGTGTCACTCAGAGAACATTTTTAAAATTTTCCACCCTTGAACACATACCTTAATAACCTACATTTATTGTTCTACCATTGAAGTAAGTTTAATTGCATTGCTAGATTTCCGAGAAACAAATAAAATACCAAGAATAATACACCAGACCACTCAGCACATTTGTATGTAAAATTCTGTATTAAAATGAACTCCAAATAAATAACAACAGAGTGAACAGCAGTGTGCAAAAATTATGGAAAACTCTTTTTGCAATCCAATCCAATATATAGCAACACCAGAGTTCTGTAAACTTACAGGACTCTATGCTTTGCTTTCCAAATGTTTCCAGCAAGCCTTTCGTATCAAGTGGTGTATACCTGATTAGAACCCATGTATATAAACTTATAATACTTTATAAATTAGATAAGTAAAAGGAAGATAGCAAAATCTGTGACAAAAGGGAGAAAATACAGAAATAGTGAGGCAGGATGTAGAACAATACTGATGCTAAACCATAATTTTTCCAATATTGTTCTGCATCTTGGAACTCAAACCTCAGTGCATACAATAATGTGACCCTAACAACTGTGGTCTTGACTCATTCGGCATTATAGTATCTCAAACATTATTTAGTGTCTTTTACTTGATAATAGAGGAAGACTTGATATTCAACTAACATTTAAAATTTTTATCAAACATTATTTAGTTACGTGGGCTTAACAGAACCATTGATCCTTAGCTACCAGGGAAGATAAAGGCAAAAATTAAGAATTGCAAAGATTGTAACCTGTCCAACATAATCTTCAAAACCCAATTCTATTCCCATTACAAATATAGCATACACGAGGAATTTTTTAAAAAAATTTGCAGGTTAATTTTCTTGAGTCTGGTTAAAGGCTTGAGTAGCAAGTCAACATGTTATAGACCGGGACTGATTCAACGAAACTCACACAAACTAGAAGAAGGACAGATTGTTCATATATTAATCGGAAGGATACAAGGGGTAGTAGCTTGAGGCTACAATTCTCCAAGCAACTTGAGGTTGCAACTCTCTAGTGTTTGCCTTACAATTTTCTGGATAATCTCCTTCATACTCAAACTACCATTCTTATACTAGTGGTCAATGCGACCTTAGGGAGAATACATGTGACTACCATTCCTTCATCTTTTCTTAATTGCCTTTGTCCTGTTGCAAAGAAATGCCTTCCCTATGCTTGTTGCTGCCGCCTTTTCTCGCGCTTCGTGTACACTAATGGTGGTTGACTTGGGTCCATCACAATACTTCCCCCCAAAAGTTTCACCTTGTCCTCAAGGTGGAAGGACGGAAAACGATCGAACATGGACTATTAATCTTCCCAAGTGGCTTCGAACTCAGGTAACCCTGGCCAATGAATGAGAACCTCTAGGATCACCGTATTACCCCCTCTGCATTTGCAGACATCTAGCACCTTTTTTGGTTCGACCACCAGTTCCAAATCGGCAGTGAGTTGCGCCGGAATTGTCTGATTGATGGACCTATCGCCGACCGCTTTCTTAAGTTGCGAAACGTGGAAAGTGGGGTGGATTTTGCAAGAGCTGGGCAAGTCCAGCTTGTAAGCCACCTCACCGATCCGTTGGAGAATCTTGAAAGGCCCGAAAAAATGAGCTGCCAGCTTTTCAAACGACCGTTTGGCCGGGGAACGCTGCCGATAAGGGCGGATTTTGAGGAACACCTCCTCCCCCACCGCAAATTGCTCATCTCTTCGATGTTTATCGGCATTATCTTTCATGATCTGTTGAGCCCGAATTAAATTCAATCGTAACTCATCCAACATATAATCGCGCTCCTGGAGTTGCTCTTCTAATGAAACCACAGTTGACCGATCGCAACAGCCTCGACGGCTCGCGGCCGTAAACCACCTTGAAAGGCGTGGTCTTGGTGGAAGTATGCGGTGAAGTATTGTACGCATACTCCGCCAAAAGCACCCGATCTCGATCCGAGATAATGGTCGAAGGAAAACCGTGAAACTTCACAATCTCCTTGACAAACAGCTCTGCCAACTTTAGGGCAAAAATGGGTGTTTCAACCCCACGAAGTGCGCGTACTTTGAGAACTGGTCGACGACCACCAAGATTACATCAATCCCTTTAGATAAGGGAAGCCCTTCGATAAAATCCATAAACACGTCTTCCCATACGGCCACCGGTACCGGCAAGGTTTGGAGGAGACCGGTCGGACTTTTCTGAGACACCTTATTCCGCTGGCACACGTCGCACGACCCCACATACTCCCCTACCGCTTTCCTCATACACGGCCAATACCATTCGGCTGCCACCCGGAGGTAGGTTTTCACCTAGCCGTCGTGGTCGCCGGTAGGTGAGTCATGATACTCACACAACAATTTTGGGATGATGCTAGCTGATTTAGGTAATACAATTCTCCTTTTAATTTCAGCGATCCACTCATCTCCTTCCAATTCTCTAGTCAACTCTTCCCAATATTCTAAGAACATATCAAAGCACTCAACTCAGTGCTTCCTTGAAAGTGCGTCGACTACTCGATTGGAAGCTCCGGGCTAACATTGAACTTCGAAATCAAATCCCACCAACTTTCTCATCCACTTTTGATACTTGTTGCCCACCTCATGTTGTTGTGTAATGAAACAGAGACTTTGTTGATCGGTTCGAACCACGAAATGCCGGCCTAATAAATAGTGTCTCCATTTCACAATGGCCAAACAAATCGCCATGAGCTCCTTCTCATAAATGGACTTAGCTTGAGCCCTCATCCCCAAGAGTTTGCTATAGTAAGCAATGGGGCGGCCCTCTTGCATCAAAATCGCTCCAAGCCCATAGAAGCGTCGGTTTCTAGAATGAACTCTTTTCGAAAGTCGGGCATTGCAAGAATCGGGGCGGTAGTCATGGCCTCCTTAAGTTTCACGAAACCCGTGCCGCCTCCTCGGACCAACCAAAAGCGTCTTTCTTGAGTTGTGCGGTTAAAGGTCCAGCCACTTGAGCATAATGGGCTATGAATTTGCGGTATTAGCCCATTAAGCTAAGGAATCCCCTTAACTCTTTAAGATTTCGTGGGTTGGCCCAATCAAGGATGGCCTTGATTTTTTCCTCATCCATTGCTAACTCCCTGTCGTGAGATTATGTGTCCCAAATATGCCACCTTTTGGCTACCATATTCACACTTCTTATAATTGGCATACAACTCATGATCAGTCAACTTTGTGAGCACTTGTTGCAAATGATCTCGATGCTCGCTTTCGCTCTTGCTATACACAAGGATATCATCAAAGATGACCAAAACAAATTTCCTTAAGAACGGCCTAAAGATGTCGTTCATAAGAGATTGGAACGTCGTCGGGGCATTAGTCAATCCGAATGGCATTACGAGGATTTCATAATGCCCCTCGTGAGTCCGGAAAGCCGTCTTGTGGGTGTCTTCGGCTTTGACTCGGATTTGATGATTCCTTGGATTTTAAATCCAACTTTGAAAATATTATCGCTCCATGAAGCTCATCTAACAACTCGTCGATGACCGAAATTGGATATTTATCCAGCACGGTTTCTCGATTGAGAGCTCGATAATCGATACAAAACCGCCACGATCCATCCTTCTTTTTAATTAGAAGGACCGGGCTTGAAAAAGGGCTCGTCGATCGCTTGATAATACCGGTTTCTAGCATTTCCCGTATCATCTTCTCAATCTCGTCTTTTTGAATTTGGGGGTACCGATATGGCCTTATGCTAACCGGGTCTCGACCTTTCTTCAAAGTGATTGCATGTTTTCTGCCTCTAAAAGGTGGTAGTCCACTAGGTAAGTAGAATACATTCTGAAATTGCTCCAAAAGAGCTTGTAAGACTGGCGGCCTAGCTTCACATTTCAACCCATTTCCAACACCTCCAACAGCTCTACCATTCACCCCAACACCTCCAAGAAGCCCATTTTCTTCTTGATCAGCTTCTTGGGCTTGCTCAACCTGATTGATTTCCACCCATAGCCCATTTCCTTACTTACTAACTGTACGAAATAGGGCTTTGAGTGAAACCAAAGCCGCCTCCAATGAAGGGTCTCCGGTGAGTATCACCGATACTCCGGGTCTCTGGCCATCGTAAATTGCATCTTGTGAGTTTTCCAATTTGTGGTGACTACTCCGAGTTTTTCCAACCATTGTACCCCAAGGATGAGATCGGTATTGCCTAATCTAAGCGGAAGAAAATCTTCCACCACCGTCACTCCACCATTCAATTTGACCCTTACTCCTTAGACATACACCCTTACCACGCACGATATCACCATTACCTAGCGACACCCCGAATTCCCTGCCTTCCGTCGAGGGAATACTTGCCTCCTCAACAAGCGTTATGGAGATAAAATTATGCGTCGCTCCCGAATCTATCATGACTACTACTTGCCTTCCTTTGAAAACCCCCCTCAACTTCATTGGCTTCGGGTTGGAGATTCCGACCACCGAGCAAAGAGAAACCTCAAGATTGGGTTCGGGCTCCTCCTGTTCTTCTCTATCCTCAAAGTAACTCATCTTCATCTCTCCTCTTCACCCCCAACTCCGGCAAGCAAAACACTCAACTCTTTCCTCTTACAATGGTGTCTGACTCCCTAACATTCATCACAACGAAAACAGAGTCCTTTGGCCCGTTTTTCCTGGTTTGGACCCACTGCTGTTCTATGAGATTGCTGGGCTGTATTGAGCCGGCACAAATTAATGGACCCTTGTGACTCAGGGGCTCGAGGCCAAGAGACTAGGGGGCGGTGGGTAAGCCATATGATTGTATTAGGCCCCCACCACTTCGACCCGCGGAATTAGTCTGGCTGGGCCCACGTGGCTTGGTCCAGCCTTCCACGAACCTATACTCCCCTTGCTTCTTCCATTCACCCTGTTTCTTTCTTCTATACGCCCAGCCAAATCCATGGCTCTCTCCAAACTTGCAGGGTTAAATAGCCTCAATTCTGCTTTTATTTCATGTTTCAATCCATTCATGAACTGACCTAGCATCAAACTTTCGGGAATATCCTCCAATTGAAAAGCAAGTTCTATGAACTTCCGACAATATTCTTCCACGGTCGCTGACTGAGTCACGACGAGCCACTGTTCGTGGAGGCTGCCGGCATTCGACGACCGAAATTCGCGAAGCAAAACGGTCCTTCAGATCCTCCCAACCCCCAAACGGCCTCCTTTTTCTTTCCCAATGGAACCACTACAGCGTCGCCCCGTCCATTGCCACCACAGCCGCCGACACCTTATCTTCCTCTGTTAATCTATAGAAATCAAAATACATCCTAGCCCTCATCACCCAATAATCAAGGTTTTTACCTTCAAAAGTGGGCATCTCAAGCTTTTTATGTTTCCAACGGCCACCGTCTCCGCCTCCATCCTCCGGCCACCCTCGCGGGTCCCTTCTCCTCCACTCCGGCATTCCGTACTCCCCTCCGATTGGTGTACGGACTACATTCTCCTCGTGACTAGCTTTTGCCTCTAGGTTGATGAGAGGCGATGGCCTGGTAACGGGCTGGCCGTTCACGGCTGCCGAATTTCCTCTCGAAACTTCTCATTTTCCTTCACCTTCAAGGTCGCCTGCATTTCCTAGTCATGGCGGAAAAGGTCAATTCGGCCTTCTAGCCTCACCAAGCCTTCATCTTGCTTCTTCCTCTCTGCTTCAAACACAATAGTAAAGTGTTCGGTCATGGCTTTCTGGGCATCTGCCATGGCTGAATTCACAACCTCCGCCACAGTTCGACCGACAGAGGCTTCTTGGGAGTCAAGCTTGCCCTCGATCACCGCTAGCCTAGACTCAATCTCTTCCACCTTACCACCCACAACGTCTACGCGCCGGGATAGAGTTAACACCATTTTTATTTTTTTAAATATATCAGGGAGGTTTCTCGCAACGGCAGTCACAGGACCACCGCTCTGATACCAAGTTGTTATAAACCGGGACTGATTCAACGAAACTCACACAAACTAGAAGAAGAAGGACTGATTGTTCATATATTAATCGGAAGGATACAAGGGGTAGTAGCTTGAGGCTACAATTCTCCAAGCAACTTGAGTTGCAACTCTCTAGTGTTTGCCTTACAATTTTCTGGATAATCTCCTTCATACTCAAACTACCATTCTTATACTAGTGGTCAATGCTGACCTTAGGGAGAATACATGTGACTAATTTACAAATTTAGAAAAACCATCAATAAACATAGTTAAAGTTGGTTGCCCTTCTTCCTTCATCTTTTCTTAATTGCCTTTGTCCTGTTGCAAAGAAATGCCTTCCCTATGCTTGTTGCTGCCGCCTTTTCTCGCGCCTCGTGTACACCAACGGTGGTTGACTTGGGTCCATCACACAACAAAAACATCCTAGCTTATTTTGAATACATTTTGTTCTTGATAAGGAATGAAGCTTGCAACAGAATCTACCTACAAATTCCCCACTAAGACGAATGTGTTGTGCAGCAAAGGCAAGCCTTTGCTCTCCCTGTCTTCATGGATACCAAACAGATGTGGTCCTCCTCTCTTTCACCAGGTTAATACCAAGAAAATAATTCGAAAGTATATTCAAATTTCAAAGTTTACGCAGCACCCAAAAAGATCATAAAAAAGGTGTATAACATGAAAGGATGTCAAAAACATTTGTAGAATGAGGGTAATTAACATTTAACACCCCAAAAATAAAAGGATTATTGTAAGAATTCTTGAGGTACATCTTAAAATTACCCTCACTTCTGAGAAGCGGAAAGATCTCTGTCAAACTAACCTTATTATGACATAATTAGGACATTCTTAATCCTCACCCCTCTTCACTAACCCTCCCCCCCCCCCTCTCTTTGTGCATCATCCCTTCCTTATCATGAGAAGATTAAGTCATTCGACCTTTCAATTTCCTAGTATGAAAATTTTTGGGGAATTATGAATTTCATATCCTAACTATCGACTGATAAAGAAAGCAGGAAAAGAAGCTAATCACATATGACTGGAACCAAAACTCTAGTAATACTCTCAATTATAAAGCACCTCAAAAGATATTGGGTTAAACTTTCAGTATACGATCAGTTCGTTTCCAATAAATTTATCCTATAAAATCAGGACATATACACCAGTCAAACAACAAAGCTAGTTCAATCAGTCAATCCTACATATTTATTAAAAAGTATTTTCCTGGAATGTGAGGATCATACCGAAGACCAACTGCAAGCTCTTCAGCAACCTTCTGATTGATCTCTGTGGAATCACCAACTATATAGATTGATGTCCCTTTGAGAAGTTGAAAGACACCAGTACTAAGGGATTCCCAGGATTCCATGATATCAGGCCACTTGAGCTCCTGGTCTTGTTTCCTCAAGTTGATAACCAATTGGTCCTCATCAAGATACCTGTCACACATATTAGAGCTTAAGGGTTGTCCAGAAGTGGAGTGTTCAAAGAACATAAGCGTGCAAAAATTATATTTTTACCATATAGTTTCCCCAGGTTTAATCCTGTCATAGAGCTGTTTAGTTTCCATCAGTGTTGTGATGGATCCAGGTTGCTTAATTCTTACAGCTAAGGAACTTTCATCAACGTCCACTTGTATTTCTTTAGAACTTTGCACCCCTGTATCTTTTAGCAACACTCTTAGCTCCAAATCGGAAGATCCATCAGAAAACTGCATTATGTTTCACTTCCAAAGGTTTTCATGTTAGCATTTAGTTGGGGGCAAAAAAAAATGGCTATTAAAATATAAGATAGTAAGCCTCATGTTAAACTATCAAAATCTAACACCCAAGAAAGGGGAAAATAATTATAATTAATAAATCTACAGTTGTCACTGTTAACACTTAACACACTTATGGTTGTGTCCCAGGTGCACCAGGTGCAGAGAGATGACTACTAAAATCTCCAGAATAAAATCCTTTTTTGTCTAATTTCACCGTTTTTTCTACTAGTTTAGCTTCTAGGGTAGAGGTATGGAGCAATGATCCAAGTGCACTAGTAAAATTAATTATTATAAAGTTTATAAGTGGTAGTACAATGGGGTGAAACCGATTCCAGAAGATGCATTAAATCCGAAAATAAACAAATATACGGTAACAGTTTCATTATATAACTTCTTTCTAAGAAAAATAGAGTACCAAATGCATTCCTTTTGGGGATGAGCCTATCACCAAAAACAAGGTAGTGTGAAGGACCAAATAGAGAATTGGTAAGGCAGATATATACAATAATTCACCAACCCAAACCAAGACAAGTGACCCATTGATCCAAACAACGAAACGAGAAAATGTAGAAAGGATGTAGTAATGCCCTTCATTAACACACTATTTCATGTAATTATGCCCAATAACATTAAGACCATGTTTGGTTAGTGTATTTTTTAGATTAGAAACGGATTTGGTTAAGCCATTACCATTATCAAAAATGTTTGGTTAAGAGATTTGGTAACAATTATCTTTACCTAAGGGTAAGGGATTCCACCCATTTGGTAACAAATACCCTTACCCTCCTTAAACACAAAAGGATTCCGATCCTTTCTATAGTTGAACCAAACAAATGAAATGGTAATGGTTACAATAAAGGTAATATCAGGGTAGAAAACTAAATTGAGTCTAAATTCTTTGTCTTCAGAAAAATCACAGTGAAATAGAAACTATACTATTGCCACAAGCTTAAGCAATGCACAATTGCACAATACATTACGAAATCATACCATACACTTGAGAGCACGATGCGCCCGGAAACTAAATAAAAAAGGGTGTCTTAAATAGGAAAAGAAAGTACCTCGTAGTGGGTGGTATTGTTGGGTTCCATGGAAATACTTTGGCAGGAAAGAGGGGTGAGTCTTGTTGAAAATCGGCCATTAAAATGTGGTGAAAGAGGGTGCTTAGATTTGGAAGAAGATGGTTTAATGGCGGAAAGCTTTGATGGCCATGTGATACCTACTCCTCCTGCAACACCTGCCATGCCTGCCTTTTAGCTTTCTCTCTCCTTGCGATTGCAGGAAGTCAAGATAAGGAATGAGATGAGCCACTTTCTTCACCAAAAAGATACAAGATGATACGACGAAGCTTCAATAGAGTTAGCTGATTTTGTAAATTGGGCTTTCTTTTATTGTAATGTTGGGTTGGTTTTTGTTTAGGCCGGTTACAAACGAAGTGAGTATATTTTTCACTTTTTTTTGTTAATAGTTGCAATTCATTGTTCATGATAATTGAAGATTTTCTCTCATCATAATTTTCTCGCTTGAATAGTTGCCTTATGGATAGTGATAGGGGTGAGAACGAAAAAAAATAAGGTACCCTGAAGTGCCGAATCGAAACTGAAACTTGTGCAACAGGTTTCAGTTTTAGGTAGTAAAATAGGTAACCTGTTGTAATTGGTTTCGGTTCAGGTTTTCAATTTTTTGTAACCAGAACATGTAGGGCACCTTGTAACTTAATACCAATTCGTACTCCCTCTATTCCAATATTGCATTTATTCTAAAATTTCTATTTCTATTATTTTATTAATAATTATTTGGCTATAATATACCTGTTAAATCGAGTGACAATAAATATTGTACATCAATTGTGTAGATACCTGCATTAAAATGACAAAAAGTTATCCCAAGATAAATAAAAGTTATTCAATATGATAAAAGTTATTTCAAAAAAATTTATATAAAGTTGCTCTTAAGTAAAAAATCAAATTTCAATAGGGAAAAATATTTATATGTTTTAAAATTACCCCAAATAAGTTTTTTTTTTAAAATGTAGAAATCGTGTCTCTTTAAAATCAATCAAGGGCACATTATACATACGCAATACTATTAATTTCTTGATTTAGAAACACGAAAGAAATTGGATTATAATGTATTAATCCCTTATTTGTGCATACAACATAGAATTAACCTACTAAAATTGCAATTAAGTAACTCCAATTTAATTCCTCAAAAAAAAAAAAAAAAAAAAATTTAAACTCCAATCTAAAGATATTTCACAAGAAACTAGGCACAAAATAATCTACCGTCATCCTTGCTCTTATTTTTTCATCTACCCCCTCTAACAAAGGCACCCTTTTGTCCCTCTTTCTTAGTTTAGGATCATAAACATCAACGAAGAAATCCTTAACACTTAGTTTACGCGACAATGTCGTCAATAATATCATCTTGCCATCTTTAATCTCCGGAGTTAGAACGAAGTCCTCATTGATATCGTGTCCATCAATGAATGCAAAACAAGTCCATGAATTTACGACGTCGTACATCTCCATAACCCACATCACCACACCTTTATTACCGATCCTTGAACCGCAGGCAGCACCCACACAAAGCAATCCATCCAATACACTGAGATGCGACGCGGTCATCATCTCCGCCTTCGGTTTATTTCACTAGGAGTATTACTAGTGCAAGGCGAAGAGATAAAATCAAACTTCTCTTTGTCGATATCAAACCTAAGAATCAAATTATCACAATCTACTAGCCAATGTAACGCACCATTCAATACAACAGGCTTGCTTCGTATCGACGTAAATCCAAACAATTCCGTATCCATAACCTTCCAAGCACAATCACCTTCATCTCTAACTGTCATGACTTCAGCTGTAATTTTAGCACTAAGACCATGTCTGTAACCTAACCTAACCACTTTTAATAGTCCAGTCTTAGAACCATAACCCAACCCACAGTCAAGGTCTGGCCACGGAAATGTATACATTTCTTCATGAAGGACCAAACAACGCCTCGTGATCGGATTCACCAGCCGCAACGTATCTAACCACGAATAAGGACGACTAGAATTACGAACCAAAAACTGTACGAAACCATTGCAAGAAGCCACAATTTCTCTAAAATCTAAGTCATAGAAACGAAACTCGTTTATTAGGTGATCATCAGGAATATAGTCAATCAAGGTTGCTACACCATTATAAGCTAAGAAAGTTGTATTTTTGGATGAATTATTAGTATAATCATTGTTGATGTGGGATTGGACCATGGGCGGATCTAGCGTGGGTTCAAGTGGGTTCATTGAACCCACTGAATTTTTGAAAAAAATTCAAAAGTTTTTTTAAAAAAATAAAAAAAATAAAAAAAAAATAAAAAAAAAAGTGAAATAGGTTAAAATAGAATATTTGTGTATTACATGGCAACAAGTGAAGCTGTAGCCCAGTGTTATTTTTTACTTCCCATCACACAAGAGTTGAAATGTAATACACAAATATGGATTGGATTACTTAGCCGATTAATTATTTATTTATAAATAATTAATAAAAGATAACAGTTATTGATATAAAAGATAGTTGGTGTTATCCGACTAAAACCGGGCTCTCTGCTCTCCTCTATTAAGGACAACTGGACTACATATAATATATATATATATATAAAGGTTATGTCTTCTTTTAGAAACTAACTTTAATTTTGTTTTCATTCCATCACTAAGGACACAAATAAAAAAACATCCAGTAATTAAGTTAGAGAAAGAGGAGAAGGGTTTGGTATTGTTTTTCTTCCCTATTAAGGTTTATCCAACCAAAGGTACAATCATGGCTTCAAGCTCATCTAATGGTATGTAATGTATCAATTGATTCTAGATTTAAGGTTTATTTCCGCATTAAATTTCTTAAGTATTTCTTACATTTGGTATCAGAGCCTGTTTTGATACATGCATTAACGAATTTGTTGATTTGAGCTTGTTCATGAGCTTGCCGAAAATCGTTCATGCATGCCATTATTTTAGATTCTTTAAAGTTAATATTATGCTTAATTAACTTAGGGCTTTTGTTCACCATGTTGATGTAAATGTATGGTATGAATTAATTGTTTTTTCATCAACTATATAATATGTATTTTTGCATGCATCTTTTTCGCATTTTTCGCCCAAAATAATGAATTGGGTCATTCTTGTAATCGCTTTTTTGGCAAAATTGATGCATGGATTATGTTTGTCATGTTGTTATTGATATATGGTAAAATTTAATTGCTTTTTGGTTTCATGCACAAAGAGATTTTCGCAATTTAGGGTTCGAAAATACCATTTTCGTATGTAGCCCAAGTTGGATTTTTCCGGACATGAAATTAATGATATATTGCAAAATTGATTGAGGGGAAATGATAGACTCATATTATAGTTAATATAAATGATTTTTATAGCATTTTAACATGCTTCCTTGATGAATTATGAATTGATTTTGCATGAAGAACGAAGAACCCTAATTTTTTTTTTCGGTTGAAGATCTCTCAAATTGGGTGAATTTTGTGTGTGGTTTTTACAAATTTTTTTGGGGCTTTTGATTGTTACATGATTATGTATCTACATGTACCTTCAAATCATTTTTTCATGAAGTAGATTTTCTGGGCTAATTTAGTTCTTATTTTCGGTAATGGTTAATTAAATATATAACCATAATAAAATGAAATAAAATTGGGGCTTTTATCATATTTGTGTATTAAATTATTATTATGAATTTATAACAATTTTATTTGGACATTATGGAATGCTTAAATGTTGGATTGTCCACTAATTTGAATTTAAGCTTAAAAATTCATATTATGGTAAATTATGAACTAACTCTTCTAAGAGTATGTCGTATGTAAAATTAATGGGTGTATGAATCACTAATTTAGATTGTCACCAAAGTGGCCAAAGAAGTGAAGTATGCACTTATTAATTTAAATAAAATTTTAAGGAAGACTTATTAAGGATAAAGTGTGTTTGTGATTAGGGATTAATACTAGCCCAAAGGAGAGTATTGATTTTCTAACCACAATATGAAAGTTAATTATTTGTGTTATTTATGTAGGTATAATGGAAACCCAAAGGTTACACGTAAATAGCACAAGCAATTGAATATTTAAGCTTCCGTGGAGTGAACAATATATATGCTTAAATTTGCCCAAAGGAAATTTTTTGTGATATCAATGGTTCATCCTAATATTTTGATATGAGGTTTAATTGTGAGCATTATGTTTTATTTGAACAGTTCCCACTTCATTGCATAACATGGCATCTGGAATGATTGTGTTTGACGGGTCTAATTTTGCGAAATGGCAAGAAAGGCTTCAATTCTCACTGGGAGTATTAGATCTTGACATGGCTTTAATTACAGAAAAACCTGCAGAAATAACGGATGAAAGTACTCCGGCACAGGTTGAAAATTATAAAGCATGGACAAGGTGTAATAAACTCAGTATGATGTTTATGAGAATGACTATTGCCAGCAATATTAAGACCTCTCTTCCGGCTACTGAGTCTGCCTCATAATTTCTGAAGAATGTCGAGGGGCGTTTTAAAAGCGTTGATAAGTCCCTTGCAGGCACATTAATGGCTGAATTGACCACCATGAAATATGATGGTCAGAAAGGTGTTCAGCAACATATTTTGAACATGTCTGAAAAGGCTGCAAAACTTAAAGCATTGGGCATAGGCATGGATGAGTCCTTCTTAGTACAGTTTATTCTTAACTTACTTCCATCGCAATTTGAACCATTCAAAATTCACTATAATGCTAACAGTGAAAAGTGGAATTTGAATGCGTTGTCAAGTAAATATGTTCAGGAGGAAGTGAGGTTAAGACAAGAAGGAAAATGCCTTCGCTTAATGTATCTCAAGTAAGCATGAAAAAGGAAAAGAAAGTTTCGGAATGATAAGAAAATCTCACCAAAGAAAGATAGACCTGGGGAAAGTAACCAGAGTCATGAGAGAAAATTCATTGTCAAATTCTACTTTTGTGGAAATAAGGGACATGTGAAGAAGGAATGTAGCAAGCGTAAGGCTTGGTTCGAAAAGAAAGGTATAAATCTTTCTTTTGTATGTCATGAATCAAATCTTGCTGATGTACCTTCAAATACTTGGTGGATTGATTCTGGAGCTACTACTCATGTAACTAACTTGATGCAGGGATTCCTTTCCACTCGGAAACCGAAGGAAAGTGAAAAGTTCCTCTTTATGGCGAACTGTCTCAAAGTTGAAGTGCATGCTGTTGGCACTTGTCGTTTATTGCTAGAGACTGGTCATGTGATGGATCTTTTAAACACTTTTTATGTACCTTCGATTTCCAGGAATTTAGTTTCATTGTCTAGATTAGATTATGCTGGTTATAATATTGTAATCGGTTCTGGACGTA